TGTCCGCCACCGTATCCACCACCTTGTCCGCCACCGTATCCACCACCATGTTTGCCACCATGTCGTCCACCGCGTCGTCCTCCGCGTCCACCGAATTCACCGCCAAAAGGTCCAAATGGTGAAATACCTGGGCCACCAAATGGTCCACCGAATGGAGGGCCAAATGGAAACAATGGACCAGGAACTACAAATTAAATAAATGAAAAACAAAATGAAATATAAAGAGTAAATCTTACTTAATGTAGCTGGTACAGGTACAGGTGGTCCGAATGGACCAAAAGGACCACCGAAGGGACCAATGGGTGGGATAATTGGTGGTGGAAGTACTGGGGGTCTATAAATAAATGATAATAAAATGTCACTAGTGTCACTCAGATATCTCTTGAACTTACGGAACTACTCCTGGTGCAATACCACCTACTGGTCCGACACCACCTACTGGTCCAACACCACCTACTGGAGCAACACCGCCAACTGGTGCAACACCGCCAACTGCTGCAGCACCACCAACTGGTGCAGCTGGAGCTGGAGCTGGAGCTGGAGCAGCTTTTGTAGAAGAACCATATGAGTTACCGTATGAACCACCATTTGAACCGCCATATGAACCACCATATGAACCACCATTTGAACCACCATTTGATGGAGCAGGAGCAGCAGCACGAGCTGGAGCAGCAGCAGCTGGAGCAACAACTGCAGCACCACCAGCAACGGCACCACCAGCAACAGCACCACCAGCAACTACACCGCCACCAACTGGACCACCACCAACTGGACCGCCAGCAACTGGACCACCAGCAACTGGACCACCAATTCCTGGACCGCCTATTCCTGGGCCTCCTATTCCTCCTATTCCTGGGCCACCAAATCCTGGGCCGCCGAATCCTAGGCCACCAAATCCTGGGCCGCCGAATCCTGGACCAAATGGTGGAATACCAATTGGAGGTGGGAGACCTGGTAAACCAACTAAACCTGGGAAGCCAACTGGGCCTGGTAAAGCAAAAGGAGCCAAAGGTACACCTAAGGTGAAGAAATTTAAGACTCTACTCTACATAATTAAAATTGAAATTGCTTACCTAATGGAAAAGGTGGGAATGGAAATGGTCCACCAAAACCACCTGGGAAACCACCAGGTCCTATTGGTCCACCAAAACCACCAGGTCCACCAAAGCCACCAGCTCCAATTGGACCACCAAATTGACGTTTCTTACGTTCAGTTGTTGTACGTTTGTTTCGTCCATAGGAAGAAGATGGTGCACTTCCATAGTTGCTCTTTACTGTTCCGTATGATGATGAACCATAATTATCATAACTAGCAGCTGGAGCTACTGTTGCCCAATCACAAAGATTTATACGAGCATTCCAGACGAGATCACCTGGACATGGTTTGACAATTGGACGTTCGAAGGCACATTGGATGTAACAATTTGGATAGCCAGGTAATGGATAATATTCT